CCTCTGCTGTCCCTCGGTGGGCCCGTCAGGAGGCCCCTCTGCTGTCCCTCGGTGGGCCCGTCGGGAGGCCCCTCTGCTGTCCCTCGGTGGGCCTGTCGGGAGGCCCCTCTGCTGTCCTGCGGTGGGCCCGTCGGGAGGCCCCTCTGATGTCCCTTGGTGGGCCCGTCGGGAAGGTTCCTCTGCTGTCCCCGAGTCGGCCTATTGGGAAGTTCCTCTGCTGTCCCTCGGTGGGCCTGTCAGGAGGCCCCTCTACTGTCCTGCAGTTGGCCCGTGGGGAAGTCCCTCTGCTGTCCCTCGGTGGCCCGTCAGGAAGTCCCTCTGCTGTCCCAGAGTCGGCCTGTGGGGAAGGTGCTTTGTTGGCTCAGCAGTCAGTCTAAATCCAGAGCGATCACAGGAGCCTGGAAAGGCAGCAGAGCTGGGGTGGTTTCTTCTGCTTTTTGGTTTTTTCCAGGAGGAGGGAAAAGCTTCAGGAGCAGGTCTGAAGAACAAAGATCATTAATGTCTCCCCCTCCCCCATCCTCCCAAGGTGCTGGGTTTTCTTTTCTTTTTCTGTTGTTATCAGTTTCTCCCATTTAGTAATCAAAACTTTAAAAAAAAATCATCTGTTTTCATCCAGACCCTTTGTCTGGAAAGATTGTATGCAAGAGGGACAGATATTTTTATATAACAACCAGGAAAACACATCATGTTTAAGAATTGGTTAGCAAAAACTCCTGAATTTTCAAAAGATTTTAAAATGGCTTTATGTAATCTCCCATTCATTGAGTCTTCAGGAAGGAGTCCTAGGGGATGGAAGGCTCTCATAGTGTCCCCCATGGAGCTGAGGTTCAGTGACTGTAAAAGGAGGACATATAATTGAAGACAGCGTGTCTTCTCACTGGGACCCCAGTGAGAAGTGCCTTTTGGGGAACTGCTGCAGGGGGCCTCAGGCTGCTCTTCTGAGCTGTGTAATCCAGGCTGGGTTATCTTGACCCCTCCCATCGGCCACTTAAGTCTGTCCTTAACTGCCCATTAAAACACTCTCTCAGCCCCGTGGCAAATCTGGGGCTGTTAGCAGATGCAGTGAATTCAGGAAACCTGAACAGGAAGCAAGTGTGGTCTTGGAGGCCTGGACTCTGTGGCCCGAGTTGGTGGAACCCCGGAGATGGCTATGCCAAACCCCAAGAAAGTGTCAGCTGCAGTCATGGTGCAGCAAAACCATCTGGACAGGACAAGAAGCCCAGTGAAATCCACCTGTCAAGAACGTCCTGGCCTCTTGGCAGGGGAACCTGTCCCTGGGCAGTAATTTTAGCCGTGGCCAGCGTCTAGAAGGCCAGACAGCTTTCCCAGGCTGTTTCAGCATCTTCTGATGACAGTGGCAGCACATGTGCGTAGGCCCAATCTAGGACAGTATCTGATCTCCACGGACCATCCTCTCGTGGACGCAAGAGGTGTCCAGTTGCATAGCTGCTTGCTCTGGGTGGAGGCAGTTCTGGTCTCCATGTGTAGCTGACAGGCGTGCTCGGCTGACTTTGTTTCCTTGGTCAGCAGAGGGGCCTTTTTGGTGAGCATTCACATGGGTAACAACAAGCTTATTAGGAGCAGAACTAATTTTATCCAAGTGCCTCATCCCTACAGAGGGGCTCGTTTTTTATGCCAGTCTGAGGCTTGTCTGTGGTATTAGCTGTGGTCCATGAGGCACGTAGGTGCACAGTCTTCTATATGCCCCTCTATAATGGCCCTGATTGTGGCAGTTCCCGTCAGGGCTTGGGGGCAAAGGCTCACAGGGGTGTTCATAGACAATATGTCAATACCAATGGCACATTCAGTAATGGGGACCAGAATAATAGTCCTTCGGAGCCTCCGGTGCACAGGCCATGCACCAAGTCTGTGGGGAGGGCGGCTTCCCCCGTGAGGCCTGCCAGGTACAGCCTTTGTGATTACCTGTGGTTGGGTCTGAAAAATCCTTGTTAACTAGGAGCTGGACTCCTCATATGGATTTTATTTTATTTTATTTTTTTGAGGAAGATCAGCCCTGAGCTAACATCCATGCCAATCCTCCTCTTTTTTTGCCGAGGAAGACTGGCCCTGGGCCAACATCTGTGCCTATCTTCCTGCATTTTATATGGGATGCCACCACAGCATGGCCTGACAAGTGGTGCATCGGTGCGATGCCCGGGATCCGAACCCGGGCCACCAGCAGCGGAATGCACGCACTTAACCGCTACACCACGGGGCCAGCCCCCCTTGTATGGGTTTTAAGACGTGTATAAATTCATGTGATTAACATCACAGGCAGGACTCGGAACAGTTCCATCTCCAGACAAGCTCCCTGAGTCTCGCCTTCCCTCGTCCCTAACCCCTGATGGCTGACCTATTCTCTGTCACTACAGCTTTGCCTTTCCCAGAATGTCATACAAAGGAGTTGTTATAAGCATATGACCTTTCGATCCTGGCTTCTCTCTCTCATATCTTCGACGTGCGTCCATGTTGTTCGTGTCAGTGTGTTGTTTTTGTTGCTGAGTGGTTATCACTGGGTACTATCCCATTGTAGAGACGCACCCGTTTGCTTATCCATTCACTTTTGAAGGACACCTTGGCTGCTTCCAGTGTTTAGCAGTTGTGTTCATCTGCATACAGATTTGAGCATAATTTCTCAGGTGAGCGTAAGTTCTCCGTTTACTTAGGTAAATATCCAGGAGTGGGATTGCTGGGTCATAGGTAGGTCTACGTTCCGCTTTATGAGAAGCTGCCAAATTTGTCTTCCAAAGTCACGTACCGTTTTGCATTCCCACCATCAATGAATGAGAGTTGCTGTTGCTTTGCATCCTCTTTGTCAGTTTTTCTTTTTAATTTTAGCCATTCTTGTAGGTATGTAATAGTGTCTCATTATAATTTTAATTCCATTTCCCTGTTGACAAATACTGCTGAACATCTTTTCACACGTTCATTTTCCATCTATGCATCTTCTTTGGTGAAATGTGTATTAAGATCTTTTGCCCATTTTTTAATGGTGTGGTTTATCTTCTTATTGTTGAGTTTTAAGAGTTCTTTATATATTCTGGATACAGGTGCTTTCTCAGATTTGCAAATATTTTCTCATAGTGTGTGCCTTGTCTTTTCTTTCTCTTAATGTTCCTTCACCCTGAAAAAAATTTTAATTTTGAAAAAGTCCAATTTATTAATTTTTTTCTTAAATTGATCACGTGTTCGGTTTTATCTGAAAACTCATTGCCAAACCCAGGTTCATGCAGGTTTTCTCCTAGAAACTTTATAGTTTTATGTTTTACATTTAGGTCTGTGATCCATTTCAGGTTAATTTTTAAGCAAGGTATGAGGTATGTGTTGAGGTTTATTTTTTGCTTATGGGTATACACTTGTTCCAGCATCATTTGTTGAAAAGACTCCTTTCTCCAAGGAATTGCTTTTGTACTTTTGTCAAAAATCACCTGAGCATATTTGTAGGGGTCTATTTCTAGGCTCTCTATTCTGTTCCATTCACCTACGTATTTATCTTTTCACTAATGCCACTTTGTCTTGAATACCGTGCCTTGTAGGAAGTCTTGAAATCAGGCAGCGTGCGTCCTGCAGCATATTGTTCTCCAAATCATTTTTGGGGCTCTGGTTCCTTTGCCTTTTGCCCCTGGACCCTGTACGCACTTGTTTTGTGGCCTCTGTAACACCTTATTGCCTCTGGCCTGGAAAGACTGAAAAGTATTTGAGAACATGATTTTTTTCTACTCATCTTTGTATTTCTGGGACCTGTTACAGTTCCGAGAACCTTAATTGCTCAATATGTGTGTTCTAGAGCTATAGCTAGTTGTCCCAACTTGGGAGCAGAACCACCCCGGAGGGAGGTGATGTGGTTTTGGTTTTGACAGTGACTGAGAAATATTGCTGTCATTTAGCAGGTAGAGGCCGGGCATGCCGAAGGTCTTACCCTGCTCAGCTAAGAATTGTTCCCAAATACCCGGGGCACTTCCTTCTCTAATTCCAATTTCTTATTCAGTGGATAGATGGGTGGATAGATGAATGAATTCATAATGATAAATATTTTAATAACGTTTTTGTTTCTCTCTCAAAGTGGAATGCAAGATTAGGATATTATATTAGTTATCCATTGCTATATAACAAATTACCCCAAACCTCAGTGGCTGAAAACACAAACATTTATCTCACAGTTTCTCTGGGTTAGGAATCTGCCAGCTGCTTGCCCATGTGGTTCTGGTTCAGGGTCTCACACGACCCCGTAATCAAGATGTTGAGGGGCTGGCCCCATGGCTTAGCAGTTAAGTGCGCACGCTCCGCTACTGGCGGCCCGGGTTCAGATCCTGGGCGCGCACCAACGCACTACTTCTCCGGCCATGCTGAGGCCGTGTCCCACATACAGCAACTAGCAGGATGTGCAGCTATGACATACACCTATCTACTGGGGCTTTGGGGAGAAAAAGGGGGAAAAAGGAGGAGGATTGGCAATAGATGTTAGCTCAGAGCCGATCTTCCTCAGCAAAAAGAGGAAGATTGGCATGGATATTAGCTCAGGGCTGATCTTCCTCACAAAAAAAAAAAAAAGATGTTGAGAAGGCCGTGGTCACCTCAGGGTGCAGTGGGGAGATGGTCCCTTTCCTCCCTCACTCACGTGGGGGTTGGCAGGCCTCAGTGCCTTGCCTCATGGGCTTCTCCACAGGGCTGCCTCCCAGCACAGCAGCTGGTTCTTTTGCCTTTTGCGTGAAGGGTTCCCAAGAGGGAAGTCCCAGCCTTTTATAACCTACTCTTAAAAGTGACACCCCCCCCCCCCCGGGCTGGCCCCGTGGCTTAGCGGTTAAGTGCGCACGCTCCGCTGCTGGCGGCCCGGGTTCAGATCCCGGGCGTGCACCGTTGCACTGCTTGTCCGGCCATGCTGAGGCTGCGTCCCACATACAGCAACTAGAAGGATGTGCAACTATGACATACAACTATCTACTGGGGCTTTGGGGGAAAAATAAATAAATAAAATTAAAAAAAAAAAAAAAAGTGACACCCCTCACCTCTGCCCCATTCTGTTCAGGGGAAGTGAGTCAGTAAGCCCAGCCTGATTTAAGAGGGGAGGACTACACGAAAGCGTGAACACCAGGAGTTAGAGAGCATTGGGCCGACTTCGAGGCCACCTACCACTCCAGAGAAGAGTGTGTATTCCACAATGAGAACCAGCTCAAACTTAACAGGGTTGTGCTTTTCTAGATATCGTTTGAGGACGTGGCTGTGGACTTCACGTTGGAGGAGTGGCAGCTACTAGACCCTGCTCAAAAGAACCTGTACAGAGACGTGATGCGGGAGAACTACAGCAACCTGGTGTTCTTGGGTAAGGACGTTCTTATATAACAGAGTGTGCCGGTAACTGAGGGCCTCTAAGATGTTGACCGATTTTAGATTTAAGTTTCAGATGTCAAAGATTCTTTGATTTCTATACCCAATTGAAAGACTTTTTTTCACTTGCTTTGTTTTATAGCCTTTGTAGTAAAATATGCTTCATGTTTAAGGGTCCCTCAGCCTAAGCAACTGGGTCCAAGTCCTCTGTATTTTCAATTAACAGGTTATCAAATTTTCAAACCTGATGCAGTTTTGAAGCTGGAGCAAGAAGGGCCGTGGATAATGGGTGAAGAAACCCTAAGTCAGAACTTTCCAGGTGAGAAGTAATCAGGAGTGAGGCACACGGGGAAAGTTAAATCTCAGGTTTCTGACGGTGGGTTGGCACTTTTGAAATGTTATTTATAAAACTGTGTTTAAAGTTCCTAAATCTTTAGAGTCCCCTCAAGACTGGTGACATGAGCTCGTTGTGATTTTTACTGTACTCTGGGTCCTGTTCCCCGTGTCAGGGTGCATCCCCTCTGTGTGGAGCTGATGGTGAAATACGCCCGCTCTTGCCTCTACGATGGCACAGGTTGATGGCCAGTCATTTAGGACCTTGCTTTCTTGGATAAGATGGTTCTTCTTAGCTTCCTCAGTCTCCTTGTCTGTTTCTCCTGCCCCAGTCCAACCTGGAGAGGTAGGCTTCTTTCCTCCTCTTTAAGAATTCATAAATTTTGCTCATTTTAGGTGACACTGATTACTTTTGAGTTTCCTTTATTTTTTTCCTCCCTCTAATTTCTCAGATTTCTGTTTTAAACCTACAGAGAATAGAAGGTGAATCCATGGATAGAGAATAAAAATCAAATACCTTACAGGTGAGAGGTTCTGTCTCTTCCCTGCCTCTGTGCAGACTGAGAACTTTGCATTCAGTCTCCAGTGCATCCTTGTGGTGCCTCTCAGGCTTCTCATTTATCCCATCAGATAGTCTGCCGGGTGTAAGACCCCTGCCACCTGCTCTGTGATATTTTAACTCCATTTACATTGAAGAACCTCATGGTATGGCAACATCTTATCTACCCAGTTTTTTCCTGTGCCCAAGGTCGTGGTTAACTCCACTTGAACTAGTTTCTTCTTCAGGTCTGTCGTAGATTTTTCTCTGCACATGAGCCTTTGGTTATAGTATGCTTTCCCTGTGTAGACACTGTCCCTCTCTTCAGTTTGAGCTCTTTTTCCACCTCCAGTGAATGTTCCTTCACTCAGCCTTTTCTGAGATCTCTCCCCAGTTGGCATTGTTCTGTAGGAACCCAGGCCTGATCAGACAATATCGGGAATTCCTTAACTGGTTAGGTCTTAAGGTTCTTCCCCACATAGAAAGATGGCAGGTAACTTATTTTGCTTGTTCTTTGTGGAATTTATGGTGTGTAATTATTAAATATTTCATTAATTGGTTGTATGGGCCCAGGTAATGCAGGATCTTTCTTATTTATCAAATATTTCTTTAGTACAAAGCTTTTCATTTAAGCAAGTGTGTCAGCTTTCCTTGGGAAATATTTCAGATTATAGATGTCTAGGCACCATTCACATGGATTTTGAGCTCTGGGTAGCTGTAGTTTAGAACCATTAGTTTAGAACCACTGCTATTATGTGGAATGAGAGAGAATAAGAGTCATGAAATAACCTTGCAGGACCAGAGAATTTTAAATGTAGAAGAAAATATAAAACTATAAAATATTCAATAATTCAGTATTTGAACTTGAAACATTTGTGTTAAATTGCAAAGTTAATTATCAAGGTCAGTGATACAGAAAGGGACTGCTTTAGAAGTTAAGTGATAAGTGAACAGTATTTATCCTACAGGGATTGAGGGCTGGTTAGGTGCCATGTAGTGGAGGTTCCTCAGTGAAAAATATAAGCCTGTTCCCTGCCCTCGGGCTTCCATTCTAGTGGGAGAGACAGAAGTCGGATGGTTACCTGTTTGGTAGGTACCGTGAAGAACAGGGTATTTGTTAGTGTGCCCTAAGATGATGTTTAGCTTTAAATGAGCTAGGCATGCTGGAAGCTGGGAATAGCGTGTCACATAGAAAGAACAGCAGGCGCAAAGGTCGTTAGCAGAAAGGCCTTTGGGATGAAAGGAAGGGTAGGGAATCCAGTGTGGCTGAGGGCAGTGAGCAAGAGTGTTGAGAGAGGGAGTCGAGAAGGCAGGCTAGCACATGCAAGCCACAGTGAAGTGTGAATTTATCAAAGGGTTTTTAAGCAAGGGGGTAAAAAGGCCTGATAACATTTTCTAGATTCCTGGCTCCTGTCTGGAGACTAGAATTGGGAGGGAGCAAGACTGGAAGTAGAAATATCAGTTTGAAAAAGAGAGTGAAATGAGGGCAGAACAGACTAGAGTGTAACAGGAACAGAGAGGTGGGGATGCACCTGGCCCTACCTAAGACACACTGTGAAGGACGGTCCACTTGTTCCCAGTCACCTGTCCCCTGCCTAAGATACACCATGAAGGACAGTCCACTTGTTCCCAATGCACCTGTCCCCTGCCTAAGCTACACTGTGAAGGACGGTCCACTTGTTCTCCAATACACCTGTCCCCTGCCTAAGATACACTGTGAAGGATGGTCCACTTCTTCCCAATGCACCTGTCCCCTGCCTGAGATACACCGTGAAGGATGGTCCACTTGTTCCCAATGCACCTGTCCCCTGCCTAAGATACACTGAGAAGGACAGTCCAGTTGTTCCCAATACACCTGTCCCCTGCCTAAGATACACTGTGAAGGATGGTCCACTTGTTCCCAATGCACCTATCCCCTGCCTGAGATACACTGTGAAGGATGGTCCACTTGTTCCCAATGCACCTGTCCCCTGCCTGAGATACACCGTGAAGGGTGGTCCACTTGTTCCCAATGCACCTGTCCCCTGCCTGAGATAGACCGTGAAGGGTGGTCCACTTGTTCTCCAATACACCTGTCCCCTGCCTAAGATACACCATGAAGGATGGTCCACTTGTTCTCCAAAATCATGATTTTTTTTTTCTTAAAGACTTTGATACAGTTGAACTACTTCAATATTGTTTTATATCATTTAAGATATTAATTTGGATATATATCTTAATCTTATTTCTTGAATTGATTTTAATTTAAAATATTTATTTTATTTACTCTCACATTTCGTGAAACAATTTTTTGTAAACTCTTTGGGTGAGTCTCAAACCTTTTATCTCTACATATGACTCTGGCATTTAATCTCCACACTTCTCTCCACAGTCATTTTCATCTCAATGAATAGAACGGTCCTCTCCACTCACGTAGTTCAACACACTGAATCCTTTCATCTTCCTCCGTATCAGCAGCTCTGGCAGTTCTTCCTCTGAAATTCTGATATGTCTGAGAATTAGATGAGGCTTTTTTTCCCCCAAAAAAATTATCCTGCAGAAAAGGAATAGTTGCCTTAAATTTGAGATCTTGCCAAATCTTTCATCTTGCAGAGAACTTCTCAGGAGTATTACCCCACAATTGCTAGTAAAGAGTATCATCATAAAGTGAACACACCTTTAAAAGATCATTGTAAAATATCCATAAATGGTCATATTGTGGAAATCACAAACAAATGTACTTACAGGGTAAGAAAAAAATCTGTCCTAACGTTATACAAAGAATTCTTGTGGTTTGGAATAATGTCCATTGATAGCATTACATATAGATTCTAAATTCAGTTAAAATGTCAAGTTGATGCTGAGCTCTGGAGAACCCTCAGGTAATTCCAAAAAGTAGCTCTAATGATGGGGAAGTTACTGATTTCAGTGCTTCAGGTGATGATCTTGAATGAGATGTTTTTTAAATGTAATGATAGTACCGAAAACTAATGTTTCTCATCTTTCAGATGGCAGGTTGATATCCTGCATTTACTCTGCATCCTAGTTGGTGCTTCTTCCTTGATAGCGCTCGGCAGTGTGCTGGTCTTGTTCCTTTGTGTGCTGGTTAGTCTCTGTCTTCACTGCACTGTAAGCCCTCTGATGGTGGGGCGCCTGCATGTCTTCTTCTCTGATCTAGAGATCAGGCTAGATCAGACTCTGGACACGTAGTAGATAACCACTAGATTGTTGTTAATAAGTAATCAGTCACCCCAGTATTTGATTGGAAATTGCTCCAGTCTCTTTTATGGAGAAGACCATCACTGTTCCTTGAGTATATTTCATCTTTCCTTATTTAAAAGTTCATGTTTATCTACATTTGTAATTTTAAAATCTGTTTTCATTTCTGTTAAAATTTTCAATGCCCAATAAGTAGACATTGTATTTGGGAGATTTTTTTGACTGAGATCCTAGGCTCCATTTCAGAAATTTTATTCAATAAGCATAATAATTGAGGGATTTACACAGTATAGTTCATTTTTTCCTTTTTAGAAGAAGTCTGGCTAGATAATAATCTCAAAATGTGGCACCAAGATAATCAAGACAAACTTAAAAGTATGGAGAGAGGCCATGAATATGATGTTTTTGGGAAAATATTTCATTCAAGCACTAACTTTGTTCATTTAGGAATGAGACTCCATAAATGTGGCACAGGTGAAAAAAGTTTGAAACATCCTTTTGATTTTCTTATTCCAAAAAATAACTGTGGAAGAAAGAAACGTGATGAGCTCAATAAGAAATTATTAGTCTATATCAAACCAGATAGACCCCACAGTGGAATAAAATACTGTGATTACAACAAATGTAGAAAAGCCAGCAGTAAGGAGTCGTGGCTCATTACAAACCGGATAACACAAACAGGAGTCTGTTTATGCATGGAATGTGGCAAAGTTTTTAACAAGAAGTCACAGCTCATTATACATCAGAGAACTCACACGGGGGAGAAGCCCTATGGATGCAGCGAATGTGGGAAAGCCTTCTCCCAGAAGTCCTTGCTCACTATTCACCAAAGGACTCATTCGGGAGAAAAGCCATATGGGTGTGGTGAGTGTCAAAAAGCTTTCAGTAGGAAGTCACTGCTCATTTTACATCAGAGAATTCACACAGGAGAGAAGCCCTACGGATGCAGCGAATGTGGGAAAGCCTTCAGCAGGAAGTCACAGCTTAAAAGACACCAGATAACTCACACGATAGAGAAACCCTACGGCTGCAGTGACTGCGGGAAAGCTTTCTCTCAGAAATTAAAGCTCATTACACATCAGAGAATGCACACAGGAGAGAAACCCTATGAATGTGCTGATTGTGGAAAAGCCTTCTTCTGGAAGTCGCAGCTGGTCACTCATCAGAGGACTCACACGGGGAAGAAACCTTATGCGTGTAGTGAGTGTACAAAAGCCTTCAGCAGGAACTCACTCCTCATTAGGCATCAGAGGATTCACACAGGAGAGAAACCCTATGAATGCAATGAGTGTGGTGAAGCCTTCATCAGAAAACCGCAACTTATTAAACATCAAATAACTCATACAGGAGAGAAGAACTATCAATGCAGTGATTGTGAAGAAGCCTTCTTTAAGAAGTCGGAGCTAATTAGACATCAGAAAACCCATTTAGGAGAGAAACCCTATGGATGTGTTGAATGTGGGAAAACCTTCTTTGGGAAGTCACAGCTCCTAACACATCAGAGAACCCACACTGGAGAGAAACCTTATGAATGCAGTGAATGTGGGAAAGCCTTCACCCAGAAGTCAAGCCTGATATCCCATCAGAGGACACACACAGGGGAGAAACCCTATGAGTGCAGTGAATGTGGGAAGACCTTCAGTGAGAAGTCAAGCCTCATTCATCATCAGAGAACCCATACTGGAGAAAAACCCTTCGAATGTAGTGAATGTAGGAAAGCTTTTGCCTGGAAGCCACAGCTTCTTAGGCATCAGAGAATTCACACAGGGGAGAAGCCCTATGAGTGCAGTGAGTGTGGGAAAGCCTTTGTTCAGAAAGTGCAGCTCATTAAGCATCAGAGGAATCATACAGGAGAGAAAACCTACGGATGCAGTGATTGTGCCAAAGCTTTCTTTGAGAAGGCACAGCTCATTATACATCAGAGGATTCACACGGGAGAGAGACCCTATAAATGTGGGGAATGTGGGAAGTCTTTCACTAGAAAGTCACACCTTATGAGGCATCAGAGAATCCACACAGGAGATAAATACTATGGATGCCCTGAATGTGGGACCACGTTTAACAGGAAGTCACAGCTTGCGATCCATCAGAGAAATCACGCGGTGTAGAAGCCATGCAAGTGCAGCAGGTATGGGAAGCCTGCTGTCAGCTGCCATGCCTTCCTGCCCTTCTGAGGACACACAGGAGAGAAACCCTGTGCAGTGACTGTTGAAAAAATTGTCATTGTGGAGGCAAGTTTCCCTAGACAGAATTCAGGAAGGAAAGAGCCTTTTAAAAAGTAGACCGTATAGGAAAGCTTTCTCCCAGAAGACACAACTTATGACACGTGGATGACTCATCAATGTGGAAGTCTTATCAATATTGTAGTAGCACAGAACCTTTTAGTAAAAAGTGACAGTTCATTAAATATTTAGAAGACCTAAGCAGAGGAAAACTGTTCTCATAATGTGATGAAAGATTTCATAGAGAAAGGATGACAGTGTACTAGAGAGTATGTACACAAAGAAAACGTGAATGCTGTATATTAGAGATTTCACTGAGGAGTACTAGTAATTTCAAGAATTTCATAAGCGTGATCCTGTAAGTTTATAAAGAAATTGTGTTCATTGTATATAAATTTTTATAAAGGTTTTTAAATGGTAGATGTGTTTTAAATGTGAAGACTTCTGCTTTCTGCCGTGGTGGTATAAAAAGGACCAGATTAACTCTCCTGCCTTAATCAGCTAGAAACTACAATATATATGAAATAATGGTTTTTAGACAGATAACAAGCACAGGTTTTGATCCCTGGAAGAAGGTGGATAGAGTGAGTTGAGCCCTACGATTGTCCAGCCTACTGCCTGGTGGCCATTTCCAGGCTGCACTTCAGGGAAGGGAACAACCGGGGTCTTGCTGAATTGAAGAGAATTGCTGATTTGGCATTTGGGGAGGCCACAGTAGCTAGAATGTGCAGGGAAAGTCCTGGAGAGGAGGGAGCTGCCCAGACCGAGGGCTGCAGAATCTATAGGGAGTCCTCTTGAGCTGAGTCCTGATTTGCATGTGTGTGAAGGAAACTTCCTGAGACCAGGAAAAGTAGCGCTGGGGAGCAGGAGGCTGAACGATTCCTGGAACTCAGTGCAGGGCTGGGAACAACAGTTCATGTTCCCACCAGCCAGAGTGGAAACAACTTAGCACACGGGGCATCAGGTAGAATTCCCAGAAGAGTATGGTCTTACTAGTGAGGGTAATTAACCCTGGATTAAAAGCCATGCTGGACCCACAGTGTCTGGCATCCAGAAACATCTGGCAGGCAAAGAAGCAGGAAAATATGACTTGTAACCAGGAGAAAAATCAATCAATAGAAAGAGATCTAGAAAAGACTGAAGTGGTTAGAATTAGTAGACAAAGATGTTCAGATAGCTATTATAAATATGAAGTAGAGGAAAACATGAATTTGATGAAGCCTGAGTGGAAGGTATATTTTGAAAAGCCCAAATGGAACCTCTCAGGATGAAAAACACAGTATCTGAGGGGACGGCCAATGGCATAGCAATTAAGTTCGTGTGCTCCGATTCGGCAGCCCGGGGTTCGCAGGTTCAGATCCTGGGTGCGGACCGACATACTGCTTGTCAAGCCATGCTGTGGCAGGCGTCCCACATATAAAGTAGAGGAAGATGAACACGGATATTAGCTCAGGGCTAATCTTCCTCACACACACACAAAAAAAACCCCACAGTATTTGAAAATTAAAAAAAAATCTAGATAGAATTAAGAACAGGTTAGACATAGGAAAAAAAATCAGTGAACTTGAAGAGTAAGAATAAAAACTATCCAAGTGATATACACAGAGCAAAAAAGACTGGGGAAAAAGAAGAGACGAGGAAATCTGTTACAGTGGTGTCATCCACGTGTAACTGGAGTTCCAGAAGGAGAGGAGAGAGAAAGGGCAGAAGCAAGTATTTGAATAAATAATGGCTGAAAATTTTCCACATATGCTGAAAAGTATAACTCCACATATTCAAGAAGCTCAAAGAACCTAAAACAGAAGAAATGTAAAGAAAATCATGCCAATGGACATCATAGTTCAGTTGATGAAAACCAGTGATAAAGCACCTCGAGAAGAAAAGAGAACACGGTCATAGAGCAAGGATGGCTCAGGCTCCTGGGCGGAAGCTGTGCAGGCTAGAAGACGACGGAGCCACATCTTTAAATTCCTGAAAGAAAAACACAAAACCTCTGCAACCAAGAGTTCTGTTACCCATCAAAAACATAGTTCAAAAATGAAAGCAAAAAAAGAGTTTTTTCAGAAAAACAAAATCAAGGAGAACTTATCACCTGTAGACCTGCTTTCAGGAAACATTAAAGGAAGTTTTTGGGCAGCAGGAAAATAATACTACGTGGAATCTGGATCTGCAGGAGGAAATGAGTTCTGGAAATGGTGGATGTGTGGGTAAATAGAAAAGGTTTCTTTTCTCATTTTAAAATCTATAAAGGTAACGACTGCTTAAAGCCAAGGTATGATAAAGTATTTTGGTTATGATCTATTTAAGAGTAAAGTGTATGACAACCATAGCACTTAAGTATGAATCTTGAAAAACAGCTGGAAGACTGCGTCGTCCAAATCAGAGCCCTGTCTCCTCAGGGCTCGAGGTGGCTTGTACCCATAGCAGCTGCACGACTGGAATTGTACGTGTCGTGGGTCTGTGTATGTGCTGATTATCCTCTGCTTCTCCAGACCTCTGTTCCTCCTCCCTCTGCTCCCTCAAGGGTGGCCCCCAGGACGGCTTCACGGGGGTTTCTGCTTAGGTTTGAACGTGGGAGGTGCTGGTAAGAGATGAGGGGGCGGGAGGAGAGAGGCGGGAGTGTTTATCACCGCTCCCTTCCTCCTTCCGGGCCGTGCTGTTGGCGGCGTCTGTGCTCCCGGCTGACGGCAGCTCCTGCTGGGCCACCCTCGTCATGGCCATCGACCCTCAGCTTCCAGTTAACGACGTTCCCTCTCCCTGACGTGAGCTGGGTGCTTCACCAAGCCTGGTCGGTTTCCTTAATTCTGAACACATGTCTGTAAATAGTCCCTTTATTAAATGTCCTTGAGTTAATATTTTGAGTTTACCATTTGTTTTCTGTGCCATGTGTTGAATGATGAGCGTTTAACAAAATTGTGAGCATCAGTTACGGGTACATGTGCCCTTAGGGCATAGACTGACATCTGTCGAGACTTCCTACACTAAATATCAATATCTTCTCTTTGTGTTTTAACAGTTCAGTAGAAATTATGACACAAAGTAACAAAGTTCTTTGTGTTTTTTGTTTTGTTTTGCTGCGAATGTAAATGGCTCTGGAGATTGTTACCATCTGCTCCATATGCAAGTGGTCTTGCAGTTATTACTAAACCCGTCTTCAGTAACAGAAACTGAAATTTTTATGAAGTCTTACGCTACCTCTGGGTTAGCCAAACAACTTACAAGAAAGCATTGTTATTTATGTTAAATACGTACAGACAAGAAAGAAGATAACCCATTACTGAGTGAAGAAAGAAAGGAATGATGTACCGTACCTCCCAGTACTCTGATTTTAAAAAATTGTGCTTTGCAATTAAAATATCCTCATTGCATATTCTGTTTTTATTATGTATAATTCATGTAGTCTGTAACCCATAAACAAGGTTTTCCATTTCAGTAGTCAAAATTACTACAGAGAACATTTTCAAAGGCTCCACACCACTTCCCATCCCAAACACCAGGCCAGAAAGAAAATCTGCTTTTCTGAAATTAAACCAGAGTTGCTTCACTTAGAATCTCATGAAGCAGAATAAGTTAGGTTGAAATGGGCTACCAGAGAGGCCAGTGTTGACAGCGCCATCCCCTGCTGTTTGTCAAGTATCTCTCTAAAGAATGTCACCTTTCTTTATCCTCTCTCACCCAGTCATTCTCTCCTGGCAAACCTCAGTTGAAGGGAAATAATTGCTATCAGGCTACACAGCGGTATTTTCTCTTCCCCTTGGACTTGCACTTCAATCTGCATTTTGAAGGAGCTCTTCATGCAGGTTTTCAGTTTTGTGTAACTTCAGGAGGCACCATTCGCAGTGCCATTTGTGTTAACAAACTTGTGTATCACTCTGCTCCTGTCTTTAAGGAATTAGCTGGTGAATGCAGTACGTATTTTGAGATTTGATCGTAATTGGAATACAGCATCGTGACAGCTACCTGCAGTGGTTTCTCTGTAATAGTACTATGTGATCTATAGCAGAGTAAAATGGATTCCGCCCTCAGCCCTCTCCGTGACCCCCTTTATTTGGCAGAGTGAAATAAAGCCCTTCTCACTCTCATTATCTTAGAAAATTTTATCTCATGATGTCTGTCTGCAGCCCAGAAGCAGGCAATGTAACATCTCATAACCAGCACAAAAGAAGGCACTGTGGCTAGGTTATGTCTACACTTTCCTCTACACTGCAAAGTGTCCTCCCAGCACCACACACCCTCTCGCCACATCAACTCATGTCCCTTGATAAGTAGTCGATTTGTTCTGAGGCTAAATCTGTGGATTTGGTGATGCTCTCTGATAATTCTTTATTTTCTTTGTGGAGTCTTTGCAACTTGGATCACAGCTATTACCCATTGTATCCAGGTAGTCTTGACATCTTGTCATTGAGACTGTTACTTTCAGAATGTTAAGATTAAATAAACCAAGGGATGCCACACTTATCTAAAACCTAAGTCATTAAAGGTGCCCAACAAAGAGAACGTAGCTATGGAAGCAGTCGCTGGTCAGACGACAGGAAGAGAGGCACACAGAGGTGACATTTGTAATTTGAGATTCTGTTTGAACGCATTCCTGTTATTAGATTGTTTATGGGAAAGCTCACCAAGCTCACACTCACACAAGGTGGGGAAGCAGGTTAGCTTCCGTGCTTGTGAGAGAGTGGTCCTGTGCCCGGAGCCCTGAAGCCCTGGCCTGCTCCCGCTGCCGCCATCCCCACAGCAGTGTGGGTTCATCCCCAGCCTTGGTGGCCCCGGCAGCTCTGCGGGCCTACGCCAGTTACACACCCACTGTGTATAACCTGTCTGTATAAGCAGAACGTGCCAAGTGGCGACGTCAGATCCGGGACCGGCTGTGGTTCTCGGACGAGGAG